TGGTCATAGACATAAATGTTTGTGTAGGCTTAAATGTTCGTATATAATTAGTAATTATGGCGAATAGTGGTTTAGTTCCGCAGTCATTAGTTTTCAAACAGGTCAAATACATACAATTTGGAGTGTAATTGAAAAAAAGGATTGTTAAAAGGACATCGCACTAAAATTGCACCACAGTTGCCTGGTCAAATTATTCTTTAAAATTTTAACCATTAAAGATGCTTGAAAAAGTATTCTTTTAAAAATCTACGCCTTATAGATGCTTGGAAATATATTCTTTATTAAATCCTCGCTTTGTAGATTCTTGGAAAAATATTGTTTAAAAAATTCACACATTAGGAGTGCTTGGAAAATATTATTCTTTTAAAAATCTACGCCTTGAAAATATGTTTCATTGAAAAACTAAGTCTTATAAAATATTCCTTATCTGATATAGATATGACAAGGTTGGATTTGTATTATTTTATCCTATTATTTGTATCCTGTGCTCTCCTAATTTGTATTACATTATCCTGTGAAAGAAAAAAATATTCCATCTAAATTTTATTACCTTGATCTCAATATCTATTACAACGAAAATATGACATTATTAGAATTCTTGTCCTCATCATCGTCACAAAGAAAACATATTTCTATTTGCTTTTCTTTTTTCGTTAACAAACAATAAATTAAAAGTTGATTCTTTCAGCAGACTCTGGTAATTTTGGGGCCTGATGTTGGAAAACGTTTAGCAAGGAGGAGGTATATAAATGATGTCGCAGCTACTTATGGAAAATGCAACATTATTAAGGGCAGCCGGCTGGCAAGCAGAAAAGCATCGACAACTTTACTAAATATATATGGTGTGAGTACATTTTAGTACTTGTACTATGTCCTTCGTCCTTGTTCACTTGTTTGCCATTAGAAGTTTTCAGTGGTTTCAATCTGACATCAAATGATGTCATTATTAAAGTTTGTTTCTTTTAGTTTTGTTTTTTTAGTACAACAAAGTGGAACTCTAAACTTTCTAAAATTAAATGAGACGTATTTTTTCTTCTGCCCAGAGAAGATATGTAGCTAAGTTTAAGTGGTTAGCAAAAACCGAATTGAGATTTGGGCTTAAAATTAATTTTTATAATGATGATAAGTTTCATTAAGTAACTTAGCAGGGAAGTGGATTTAGACATAAAACACATGGACCGATGGAAAAATATTCTTTAAAACCTTATAGGTGCGTAGAAAAATATGTTTTAACCAGTAAGGAAAGTAGTAAAGTCGGACTGGGCCGACTATATTATACACTTCACCACTTTGGGTATATTCGAAGCAACGAACTTACATGTGAACATCAATCCCAACACATGCGATTCTGCAACCTATTCTAAATTTTGTAAATAGATTTAAAGCAAAATTAACACACGCTATTTGGTATGCTTCACTGTTTAAAATGTAATATCAATCTGGTACCCATTTATTATTTGGTGTACAATAAACATGAATACGTCGAAATTATATATCAAAGCTAAGCTATATCTAAATCTGAATCGATTCCATTTATTATTTGGTGTTCATTAAACATGAATACGTCGAAATTATATATCAAAGTTAAGCTATATCTAAATCTGAACCGGTTTCAAGGCAACTTTAGTGCACGATTTACATACAATCGGGCGAAAATATATACGGAAGCTATATCTATATCTGAACCGATTTTCACCAAACTTAGCACACATCATTCAGGACCTGATTCAGTATCCTATGCTCAATTTCGTGTAAATGTAGGGACTTGTGTAGGGATATGTGAGCTATATCTCAATCTGACCCGATTTTCTCGAAACTATGCATTCATTCATTGTAGACTCTATTCAGTACACTATGATAAATTTCGCGCAAATCGAAAGATATATAGAGTCTTTGGTGCACCATTTACACGAAATCGGACGAAATATATATATATATATATATATATATATCTAAATCTGACCCGATTTTCTCGAAACTTAGCACACATCATTCTGGGCCCAAATCAGTACCGTATACCGAATTTCGTGCAAATCGAAAGATATGTAGGGACCTTGGTGCCCCATTTACCTTAAGTCTAACGAAGGTATGTATGGGAGCTATATCTAAATCTGACACGATTTTCTCGAAACTTGACACACGTCATTCTAGACTCAATTCAGCACACTATGCTAAATTTCGTGAAAATCGAAATATAAAATCGGACGAAAATATATATGGGCGCTATATCTATACCTGAACCGATTTTCACGAAACTTAGTTTACATTATTCTCGACCTAATTCAATACCCTATGCCAAATTTCGTGCAATTCGAAAGATATATAGGGACTTTGAAAGATATATAGGACCATTTATATAAAATCGGACGAAACTATATATGAGAGCTATATCTAAATCTGAACCGATTTGCATGAAAATCAGCACATATCATTCTAGACTTATTTGAGTGCGCTATGCCAAACTTTGTGCAAATCGAAAGATATGTGGGGACTTCGGTACACCGTTTGCTTTAAATCGGACGAAAATAAATATGGAACTATATATAAAACTGAACGGATTTTTCAATAGAGTTCGTCCTTTGGTCAAATAAGTGAGCTGTGCCAAATTTCATCCAAATCGGATCATAAATGCGACCTGTACTTTGTTTACAATTTAACATCTACAGACGGACAGACGGACATGCATTAATCGACTTAAAAAGAGATTCTATATTCTCAAAAGGAACCATGTGTCTATCTCGTTTCATTTTGCCTTTTACAAACATATGCACAAAGACATAATACCCTGTACCACAGTGTGGTGAAGGGTATAAAAACCAAGCCTTATAGGAGCTTGGAAAAACTTTATTTAAACCAGGAAAGAAAGTAGTAAAGTCGGACGGGGCCGACTATAGGATACCCTTTACCACTTTGACAATATTCCAGAAATACATCCTTATAGACCTTGAATTTTTGAAGGACCATTGACATGAAATTCGACTAAGTTATATATGTGATCTGTGTCTGTATGTGAACGGACTTCACCCAACGATCAATAACCGGGTATATTTGTATAAAGTATATATATTCATGATTACCGTAAAATTCTATGACAATTTATGCAGGTCCGTCTCTCTGTTGTAATCACTCAAGCTTCTAAACGAATTGAGATAGATCGCCAAAATTTTGCATAAAGTTGTCTCTTGTCTGCAAGTCCGAAGATGAGCTTTATCGGTCCACGTTCCAAATGTCTCCATGAAAAATTATTAATATCGGCCCACTTTTGCAGGTAGCCCCATATGACGGTTAACCCAGACCCATTTCGATACGTTGCGCGTAATATTGTGCCAATCGAACAACCTTTAAATCTTTAGTGCACCATTTGCGAAAAATCGGACGATCATATATATGGGTGCTATATCTAAATCTGAAGCGATTTCAATAAAAGTTGGCACACGTTAGTCTATCCTAAATTCAGCGTTGTGCAAGATTTCATGCCAATCGGCTTAAATTTGACCCTTTGGTGCACCATTTGCGAAAAATCGGACGAACATATATGGGAACTATATCTAAATCTGAACCGATTTCAATAAAATTTGGCACACGTTAGTCTATCCTAAATTCAGCACGTTGTGCAAAATTTCGTGCCAATCGACCTAAATTTGACTCTTTGGTGCACTATTTGCTAAAAATCGGACGAGAATATATATGGGAGCTATATCTAAATTTTTCCCAATTTCAATAGGGTTCGTCCCTGGGCCAAACGAATGCTCTGTGCCAAATTTCATCTCAATCGGATAATAAATACGAACTGCACTTTGTTTACAATTTAACATGAACAGACGGACATGCATAAATCGACTCAGAAAATGGTTCAAAAGGAACCATGGGTCTATCTGGTTTCCTTTTGCCTGTTACAAACATATTCACAAAGACATAATACTCTGTACCACAGTGTGGCAAAGGGTATAAAAATCCACGCCTTATAGGTGCTTGGAAAAATAATATTTAAAAAATTCACGTTATAAAAATAAATCTCATCATATACAATAAAATATGATTCATTGTCTCGTTGTAATTCTGATTTACCCCATAGAATGATGAAGATTGACACTTCGCACATCCGCATTTGGCAAGCACATAGATATGTGAAAGTAATGTCGAAGTATACCAACGATGGTCGTGATACAACATTCTGACGAATGGGAAATTGAAAATTTTTAATGGATATTTTGTGTTATAGTTGCTGTTAGCTGTGACATGGTATAAAGGGATGTATAAAAATAGAATAAGTGGAAATTTTCCTTTTATTACTTGTTTTTGCTTGAGTTTGACTGAATGGAAAGACCAACGGACGTCGGGATGAATGTGTGCTATCATAATGCAATATATATAGTATTATATAATGGCATCATAATATAGTTGTACGTACGTTAGCAATGATAATTGATTTTTTAACAAATAGGGAAACCAATTTTTCTAATAAAGTTTGATGTGATTAGTGCATCTAAATTTTCAATTAAGAAAACAATTTGCAAATATAGGAGGCCTACGCTTGCAATAGAACAATCTCTTACTCACAACACTATACCCTTTATGTAGATTGATACAAAAAAGGTTATTACCATCCCTTAAAATTGCAACGCCTCTGATTAGCAGGACTTTGTGACCTGGTCAAAAAACTGATTTGATTGCTATAACAAAAAAGAAAACTAGTCATTTTAACATTTCTGACATTGTTGTCAGACTAGGCTATACACAAAATGTTTACAATATCCATGACAAAGAAATTAGAGAATCATAAAAATGTAGTACAAAAATAATCCACAAAAGTTATCGCATTATGTAGGATAATATGGTGTAAAGTGTCGAAGTTTTGATTTTTGTTGTTCATAAAAAAATGCAGTCACATCCTTTTTCATACAATGACTTTTGTATGACAAACTTACTGACATGTGTAAAATATTTTCAACATTCAACTTATTTCAGTAAAAATATGTGTGTGTCTATGTTGTACTTACATTTTCTAGTTTGGCCACAATTTCATACATGGTCATATCATTGACTTTACCATATTGAACAATGAAGTCAATATCATCATTCGCAGCAGCAGCACCCGCCGCATCAGCGATGTCAAATTCTGTTGCATTGCCGTTGGATGCTTTAATGGTTGCATCATTTGCTGCTTTGCCATTGCTGTTTGAGGCATCTGCCGGTGTTGTAGCGACTTCTGTGGAATTGCTGTTGCCCTCGACATCTGGCTGTGACCATGCCAACGAGATTGTTGTATTTGTTACTTTGGTTGCATGTAAATCGATGACTGGGGCGGGTATACTATCGGTACCTGTTTGTTTGATGGTGTTAAGAAGATTAAATCGAATGTTAGTGATTCTCTTAATACTATTTTGTTTTGAGATGGAGTGTGAAAATTTGACAAATTGATTGACTAAAATGTGTTCAGAATCGTCCGCCTTTGACTTATATGTATGCTCCAGTAAAAGTATGTTAAATTTTGAGTTCTAATATTCTATAAGTGCTGCGAAGGTAGTTATGAGTACAACATTTTCCGAACTAAATATAGAACTCCAGATTTTTATAATTATTAAAACAAGTGAAAAAACGTTAAGTTCAGAGGGGCCGAACTTTGGATACCTTCCACCATAATTATACTGACTGTTACTTGAAATTATTCTATTACTTGAAACTATTCTACGTGGAACTATTCTATTGCGAATGACTTTGGTTAAAACTTCGATGTAAACTAAAATGGGTGGGATATTTACTTGGGGCATATTACAAATAAGTGAACCTCCGCAAACAAAATATATATTACAATATATCTTGACAACTACTGACAACCAGAAACATTAAATTAATGTCAAAATATTAATATTAAATTCACCATAGAGTATTGGCATTTATTAGCAATAATGTCTCCCACCGCAGGATGAACTATGTTATACTGTCGAGACTTCTGATGTAAGGAATAATGGGAGATATATGGAACATACCATAATGTGACCTATACCAACAAATGCACATTAAATAAAAATTTCCGCAATATTTAATGGGTATTACCCTTAAATCTCAAAACCCCAAATCGTGGTCCGATGTTGAAAACGCATGGTATGGTGCAACATGTGTTTAAAATCCTCAAAATACTGCAGTTTACCTATGGGTGATCAATATTGATTACATCATGGTGGAATTACCGAACATTTGGATTTATCATTACATGGGGACCTAAATCTAATTTGGGTCCGATATAGCTCAATTTCGAACCAAACATTTTTGTTTTGTATCACAATACATTCCTTCACTATAATTATTAAATAGGTAGGTATTTACATATAGGGTCCAGGCATAAATGCGGGCCGATATAGTTGTTCTCGAACCCGACGTTCTAGTTTTGCATCTCGATATCCTCCGAAGGAAGAATGACTAAAAATTATTTTTTGGAGGGAGATTTGTTACCAAATAGGTCGGAAAAACCGCGCTCAAAAACGCTCTGGAATATATTTGGCATCCAATAATAACCCATTTTACCAAATTTATGCGAATTCGGCTGAATTCACGATCAAGAACCCCATAATATCGAAAATTTAGGGTAATGATATAAGTGGGCTATGCCGAATGACTTATTTTTATTCATACACATCAAGAATAAAATGCGTGATCAACGTTTTTCGATTCCTCATGCTGATGTCGCGCTCAAAATCCATGTAGTATACATTTGTAAATCGAAGTAACAAAAGTGCCTCGACAACTGGTTTGAGTACATGAAAAGTCAATAATATCTTTAGTGACCATTATATGATCTTTAAAGTACCTAAAATAGATCATCAATACTCATTGGGAATCCGATACCTTTTGCGAATCCAAAATTAAATTATATAGAAATATTCCTCTCAGACCTTTAAGACGCCGAAAACAGGAAAGAATCTATAACAAAGCCTTCATTTAGGTCGATTGTAAAAAAACAACTAGAATCTTGAAACTTCTCCTTGTCGGACGGGCCGACTTTATGATAGATCATATGCACAATATCCTATAGATACAAAAGACATAGCATCTTTGGAGAACCATTGAAATGGAATCGACGACATTAAATTTGTGATCTACATATAATTCCGTACACAGTGAAAAATTATGTCTCAATCGGACAAATATTGCGAGTTTTACATTAAAAGAATTGGTCGAAACTATATATGGGACCTATATCTAAATCTTAAAGGATTTTCTCCAATAGAGATTGTCATATTTTGGTACAAAGTGTTTTGGAAGGCTAGGTACAAGATTTCATATAACCCACACAAAATTCCGCTTTTTTATACCCTCCACTATAGTATGGAGGGTATATTAATGTTGTCATTCCGTTTGTAACTCATGGAAATATTCATTTCCGACCCTATAATGTATAAACATTCTTGATCAGGGGTGAAATTCTGCGACGATATATCCATGTCCATCGGTCTGTTGTAATCTTCTGAAGGAATTGAGATAGGGTGCTGAAATTTTGCATAGGGTTATCTTTTGTCTGCAGGCAGGTCAAGTTCGAATATGGGCTATGTCGATCCACGTTTAGGCATAGCTCCCATCTAAGGGTACCCCCCAATTTTTGGTATTTTGGTATTTTGGCATTTTTCAACCGAATTCTTCGACATTTTTATATTGGGTTCTTTTTGGATACCAAATTTCTCCACCAAAAATTATAAAAATAAAATATGTATATTTTCAGTATATTTTTTCCACTAAAAAGGTCATACTTGCATACATAACTTTAGACTTATAACCATCAAATATAACAAGGTCTTTTCGGCCTAATAGATCAGTAGGGGTACTCCATTTCACATTGCTGTATACATTCCTCCATACAAAAAACCAAGCTTTATCTTCAAAAGTAATAAATTCCTGCTTTACCACCAATAGCTGATTTACTATCCTAGTTTTTACTTTTGTCTACATTTAACCTCCCCTGTCCCTTCCTCGAAGTTGAATTGTTACCAATGCAAATTAATTAAATTTAATTCTTTCTAAATGGAAAATTCAATTTGCACATTGTTGTCGCAGGTGTGGCGACTATGTTTGTGACTCTGTCCAATACTTACCCTCCTCCAGACATTGCAGGATATTACCCGCATAGGATAGACAATCTGTGGTGGCATTAGAATTGACACTGCCCGTTGTTGCCAATGAAGAGGTGTGGGCTACAGGTAAAACGCCACGGCACAGTGACATACATGTTGAGGGTACACCACGGCGTACACAGCATGGTGTGTGATCACGACCTCCGGCGGCACATTTGGCAATAATGGCTGCAAAAAAAAAAAAAACATGAAAAAGAAGAAGTGGAATAGGACTATTAATTCTGCAAACAGTGGTGTCTTGGACATTGAGGAAGTTGCAAGTGATGGTGGTAAATGTCGGACAATGTCGTTGTGGTCGCAGCACCGCTCAATTAGGATTGGATCCAGCTATGTAGCAAATGCAAAGAAAGAAACTTCGAATTGTTGGAACATAAGTAACAGAAGAAAAGTAATTATTTTCAGTTTTTATGTTATCCTTTAGCCAACATGGCTGAACGAGCACATTGGATGACTGCTTGGTTGGATGTCTGCTGGGTTGGATTGGTTCGTTGTTTGGCTATTGAATTTAAAGGCAACACTTATAGGGCAAACCTATAATGGCGACCAACAAAAAACCCATGGTAGAAGTGACTGTGGCAGTAGCATCAACAACAATCAGACGACAACGGGGTGGTATATAACATAATTCGTATGCATATCATGTTGCATATAAATCTTATTTAATGTCTTTTATTTCATTGCTGGCCCATTCCGAAGAACTAAGGCTCAAGCATTCATGTTGGCAATATTGTTGTTATTGTTGCTGCTGTGTTTCAGTTGGCCTTGTTATTTATTCTGTTGCTGTTGTCGTTCCATGGTGTTTTTGCAACAACAACTGCAACTAGTTATCGAGCAATATAACACACCCAAGAAGTTGTATTAAGGGCGGTTCGGTGTGAAGAAAGGATAGCTTGCATATCTTTAATATTTTCATACTTACACATTTGTGCTCGACACGCCGGTCCCAGCTTCTCAATGTCCGACAATTTTATATTGTAACTGCACAACGGTACACATTGTGGCAATAGACCCGATCCATGACAGCATTTCGACATATCATAGTTGGGCTCCTCGGCGTCCTCCACTTCTAGGGGTTTGGTGCGTGTGATTAAACGTGGTGAGGGTTCACTTTTGCCATATGCATTTATGGATACCACATAGAATTCATAGTAGACTTCGGGTTCCAAGCCTTCCAATATTAGTGGTGGATTTTTCTAAATGGAGAAAAACAGGGAGAAGAAAACAGAAGTAGATGAAGAATAACCGAACGTGCAACAGGATTAGATGTTAGTGTATGTGCATGGTGTTTCCTCCTGTGTTTACTGAGCTCCGGCTTTAGTCAAGATGAAATAAGTGCTTCAAAATAAGTTTACAAAGAAACATGTTGCGGTTATAAATTATTTTTCTGTGCGAACTTTCAAAAGTTGCACAGCAACATCAGTTAGCCTAGAGAGGGCAGCTAGTACTATAAGTAGTACGTGTTTAAATTGACGTTATAAATAATGTCAAAGGAAATGAGAAGAAAATAATATATTCGTAAGGAAGAACTGAATACAAAAATATAATTTCGTTGATATCAATAAATTTAAATGCACTGAAAATGTTGGCGCTTTGGCGGAACGAAGGAAGACTATTTTTAATGAAACGAGAGAAATGTAACTTAAACCTTGTTTATACCCTACACCCGCAGGTGGACATCAACATACCTAAAATTGATACAAACTTGTGTATGTGCAAATTGCTTTCAGAAAAAACGAAACCTTTAAACGGAATGGACCTTGGATGGGCGATATATATATTAAGTTCAACCCCTCAAATCCCCCGTATTCTTATGAGACTCGACACCTTAAAAATGATTCATATTCTTATAAGACTTCACGCCTTAAAAATTATTCAAATTCTTATACGACTCCACGCCTTAAAAATTATTCGTATTCTTATAAGACTCCACGCCTTAAAAATTATTCGTATTCTTATAAGACTCCACGCCATAAAAATTATTAGAATTCTTATAAGGCTCCACGGCTTAAAAAATATATATTTATAAAAATCCACGCCTTGAAAAAAAATTATAAAAGTTCACGCCTTAAAAAGTATATTTTTATAAAAATCCGTGGCTTGAAAAAATATTTTTATACAAATACACGCCTTGGAAAAAATATTTTTATACAAATACACGCCTTGGAAAAAATATTCCTATAAAAATCCACGCCTTGAAAAAAATATTCTAATAAAAATACAGGTCTTGGAAAAAATATTTTTATAAAAATCCACGCCTTGGAAAATCATTTTTATAAAATTCCACGTCTTGAAAAAATATTTTTATAAAACCCAAGCGTTGCAAAATTTAAAAAAAAATATAAAAATTTATGTCTTGTAAATCCTTTAAAATATATTTTTCTATCTGAGCCTTAATGGTCCCTGAAAAAATATTCTTATAAAAATATTCGCCTCAATGGCCTCTGAAAATATTCCCTAAAAATATTCTTTTAAAACTCCACGCCTTAATGGTCCCTAAAAATATTCTTTTAAAACTCCACGCCTTAATGGTCCCTAAAAATATTCTTTTAAAACTCCACGCCTTAATGGTCCCTAAAAATATTCTTTTAAAACTCCACGCCTTAATGGTCCCTAAAAATATTCTTTTAAAACTCCACGCCTTAATGGTCCCTAAAAATATTCTTTTAAAACTCCACGCCTTAATGGTCCCTAAAAATATTCTTTTAAAACTCCACGCCTTAATGGTCCCTAAAAATATTCTTTTAAAACTCCACGCCTTGTGTTTGTCCTTGAAAACTCCACGCCTTAATGGTCCCTAAAAATATTCTTTTAAAACTCCACGCCTTAATGGTCCCTAAAAATATTCTTTTAAAACTCCACGCCTTAATGGTCCCTAAAAATATTCTTTTAAAACTCCACGCCTTAATGGTCCCTAAAAATATTCTTTTAAAACTCCACGCCTTAATGGTCCCTAAAAATATTCTTTTAAAACTCCACGCCTTAAAGGACCCTGAAAAATGTGTTTTTTTTTTTTAAAGCGCCTTAAGGGTCCCTGAAGACAATATTTTTTTAAAAAATATATTTTCAAAAATTCACGCCTCAATGTAGAGTTTTCTGTTCCCAATCAACCCATCCCCACTTACCTTTACAACTGTGCTATAATCATCACCAACTCCCAAACGTCTAAACTTGACATGGAATGTTGTAATTGTATCGGCCAGTCTTTTTGGTTTATTCCAATCCAAAATGAGGAATGTATCCTTTTTGGCAACCGTACGCAATTTGGTGGGTGGATCAGCCAAAACACCATAACCTTGAAATAGGCAACTGCTAAATTCCGACATAAAACGCAGGCACCTAAAAGAAAAGTACAATGAAAACGGAAAAGCAAACAATTAGAAATAAATTCCACCACAATTTCCTTCAATTAAATACTCACTTAAACAAATTGAAATCCAATGTCGACACCTTGCCCGAACACAGCGGGAAACATGCACTCGGTATACCACGGGCTCTACAACATGGCGTATGATCAATATTATTGGCCAAACAACTGAAAGTGATGTTTGACCATGGTGCACAAACCATAAAATCGGGCAGAGTTGCCAAATCAGTTTTTTGCGGATCACACATTTTATCCAAACACATACGGTGGGTCATACCACGCGATTCACAACAACTACGGATGTCAGGCAAATCTGGCATCTCCATTTTAGTTTCAGGTTCTGCATCCTCCTCCTTGGACAGGGAACTTTTGTGCGTAAAGATGCGCAGTCGTTCGCTGGGCAAACTTGACCCAAATTCATTTTCGGCCGTCACCACAATTCCATACATTCTTTGTGGCTTTAAATCTGGTATCCGAAGCGATGTTGTGTTGCCATTTACAGTGCGCATAATGACACTTTCATCCTTTTTCGTTAGACGCGTTTTAGCCACATCATCGTCACCATCGTCCCCTGCCGCCGCCGCCGCATCATCATCCTCATCAAAGGAATGCAATTCCGTTACATTGATTTTGTATTCTTTCACCGTGTCGGGTAGCTTTTCAGGCGGTGACCAGCTAACCGTTACAGCTGTTTCGCTAACCTCACTGACTGTCACTTCCAGTGGGGTGCTGGGTATCTGTTGGACACCCTGCAGTATGCACTGCAGGCCGCTCAGTGTATGATGGACACAGGACACTCGTGTACGCAGCATATCGGTGAACGGTGTGTACTCGCCGCGACACATGTCTTGACACAAATCAGGTATTTGTTTCTCAACGCAACAGGGTACATGATTACGACCATCGGCCATGCAGCGCACGATTCGTGGGAAATCCTTTTCGCATGCCTCCGGCTCAATGCCGGTGGTGCCATCCAAAATATTGTGGACATTACAAAAGCCCATACAGCTTTGACTGACGTTGTCACGTTCACAGCATTCGGTAAAGTCATGCGTTATCTGGGCTGGTATGGAGGCGGTGCGCCAAAATGAACGATTGTCCGTTGAGTCCAGAGGGGGTGGTACTAGAAAAACATCACTGTTTTCATCACCTAAATCCCGATTGTTGTTGTTGTTGGTATTGTTTCTGTCTAAGGTTTTGTAGGTTGTCTTAACTGAAGCGTAACAAACAAACGCGTAGAGAGTGGCAGGTGGTGATGATGGAATGGTAAAACGAGAACAAGACATGAAAAGCAAATGAAATAATTAAAATTAATTGTTTGGACATTAACAAAAGTTGGGATGGGATGGTTTACAAATTTAATTCTGAATGTAGGAATTTAAAGAGGAAAGTATTGTGGCATTGAAAGCTGTATAAGAGTATACACTTTAAGGATATTTAGATAAAGTTGGTAGATCTTTCATGACGAAATATATTTAAAAAATATTAAAAAAATTTAAAATATATTTTTGTTTTATTTTTTTAATCGACGTCTAATATTTCTGTAAGAATTCATGCAATAATGATCAATATTCATATAGGAATATAAGCCTTAACAATCGATATTCTTATAGGAATATACGCCTTAACAATCGACGTTCTTTTAGGAATATATGACTTAATGATCAATATTCCTATTGGAATCAACTCCCTAATCATCAATTTTCTAACAGGAATCCACGCCCTAATCATCAATTTTCTAACAGGAATCGACGCCCTAATCATCAATTTTCTAACAGGAATCCACGCTTTAATCATGAATATTCATACAGGAATACACGCCCTAATAAGCAATATTCTTACAGGAATCCACGATTTAATCATTAATATTCTTATAGGAATACACGCCCTAATAAGCAATATTCTTACAGGAATCCACGCCTTAATCATGAATATTCTTACAGGAATCCACGACTTAATCATGAATATTCTTACAGGAATCCACACCTTAATGATCAATATACTTATAGTAATCTACGCCTTAATGATTACTTGAAAGGTATTCTTATAGGAATCTACGCCTTAATGATTACTTGAAAGGTATTCTTATAGGAATATACGTCTAAATGGTTACTTGAAACATATTCTTAATCTACGCCTTAATGATTACTTGAAAGGTATTCTTATATGAATCTACGCCTTAATGATTACTTGGAAAGCATTCTAATAGGAATCCACGCCTTAATTGTTACTTGAAATGTATTCCTATAGGAATCTACGTCTTAATGATTACTTGAAAAGTATTCGTATAGGAATATACGCTTTAATTGTTACTTGAAAAGTATTCTTATAGGAATCTGCGCCTATATGGTTACTTGAAAAATATCCTTCTTACGTCTTATTGGCTACTTGGAAAGTACTCTAATAGGAATCCATGCCTTAATGGTTACTTGGAAAGTATTCTAATAGGAACCCATGCCTTAATGGTTACTTGGAAAGTATTCTAATAGCAATCCATGCCTTATTGGTTACATGGAAAGTATTCTAATAGGAATCCATGCCTTAATGGTTACTTGGAAGGTATTCTAATAGGAATTCACGCCTTAATGGTTACTTGAAAAATATTCTTAGATTAATCCACGCCTTAATGGTTACTTGAAATTTTTTCTTATATGAATCCATGCCTTGGAAAATATTTTTTTGTTAACCCACCCCTTGAAGAAGTATTGATTAAAAATTCGCGCCTTGAGAAATTATTTTGTAAAAAAAAACCAGGCCTTGAAAAATTATTTTTATTTTTTTAGTTCTCTTAAAAATAGTTTTTTAAAAAATCCAATTTTCATAAAAATCCAACAACATTTTTTTTAATAAAAGTACCCATCTTTCACAAATGTTTTATAAAAATCACCGCAATTGACAATTTTTTTTTATAAAAAACCACACCTTTGACAATTTTTTTTTATAAAAAACCTCGTCTTTGACAATTTTTTTTATAAAAAAACACGCCTTTGACAATTTTTTTTTTATAAAAAAAATCTACGCCTTTGAAAACAAATCCAGGCTTTAAACCAGTAAGGAAAGTAGTAAAGTCGGGCGAGGCCGACTATATGATACCCTTCACCACTTTGGGTATATTCAACAGATGAATGCTAACATACGTCGAATTCTGCAACCTATACTAAATTTTTCATTTGTTCATATATAGGGTTGCTTCTTACAATGGGACAAAATTACAATATGTATATATGTAGAAGCTATATCAAAATCTGAACCGATTTCAATGAGAATGGCAGAGATTAACTTATATTAACTACAGTTTATTGTAAAAAATTGTGTGGCAATCGGACAAACTTTGGGTCTTTAGTGCACAATTTACATAAAATGGGAAGAAAAATATATAGGAGCTATATAAAAATCTGAACCGATTTTCAGAAACCTTAACACACATCACTCCAGACTCATTTCAGTACACTATGTGCAAATCGAAATATGTATAGGGACTTTGGTACACCATTTACATTAAATCCGACGAAAATTTATATAGGAGCTACATGTAAATCCAAACCGATTTTCACGAAACATAACGTGCACTATTCTAGACTTAATTAAGTACGATATGCCAAATTTCGTGCAAATCGAAAGAGAGGCTATATCTAAATCTGAACCGATTTTCACGAAACTTGGCACAAGTCATTCCAGACCTAATTCAATACGCTATGCCAAAATTCGTGCAAATGAAATCATTTTCAGGGACTTTGGTGCACCATTTACCTAAAATCGGCCGAAACTATTTGTGGGAGCTATATCTAAATCTGAACCGATTTTCACGAAACTTAGCATACATCATTCTAGACCTAATTCAGTAAGCTATACCAAATTTCGTGCAAATCGAAAGATATATAGGGACTTTGGTACACTATTTACCTTAAATCGGACGAAAATATATATGTGAGCTATATCTAAATCTGAACCGATTTTTCCCAATTTCAATAGGGTTCGTCCTTGGGCCAAATAAGTGAGCTGTGCCAAATTTCATCTAAATCGGATCATCAATGCGACCTGTACATTGTTTACAATTTAACATCAACAGACGGACGGACGGACAGACGGACGGACATGCATAAATCGACTCAGAAAGTGATTCTATGCATATTCTCAAAAGGAACCATGGGTCTATCTCTATTCCTTTTGCCTGTTACAAACATATGCACAAAGTCATAATACCCTGTACCAGAGTGTGGTATAAACATATTTTTTTTATAAAATTCACGCCTTGAAAAAATATTTTTTATAAAATTCATGTCTTGAAAAAATATTTTTTTATAAAACTCACGCCTTGAAAAAAATATTTTAAAAACAAATCCACGTCTTGAAAAAATGTTTTTAAAATAATCCACGCCTTACAAAAAAAAAAAAAAAAACATTTTGTATGAATATTAATAACATTTTGTTTGAAAAAACCCGGCCTGTTTATCACTCAAAAATATTTTTTTATAAAAATCCAGGCCTATTAAAATATTTTCTAGAAAAACAAAAAAATAAGTATTTTTTGTAAAAATGCTAACTTTGTTCATTTTCGGAAAAAATATTATTATTTATTGTTTCTTATGAAAATCCACGCCTTGTTGTTTCCTAAACCTATATATATATATATATTAACAAATCGAAACTTACCATCTAATATATGTATACTACGTAATACTGGATCTGAATTTAATTCACAGATATAGCTTCCCTTATCGGATGGTTTTAGGCGTTTAATGAGTAGGACCCACACCTCACCACCGGATTCCACTTTGCTACTGGGTTCTGGAAATTACAAAAAAAAACAACATTATTCGTTTAACTAAAACTTCACATTTCCACACGGCGACAACTCACCTTCATCGTGTAATACACTAACACGCGGATCACTTGTCACGCGGACACTGCCCGCGGTTAGAATTTCATCACCTTTCTTCCATATCACAGTATTATTAAGACGATTCGCTGAGACGACACAGGTTAGCAGGGCGTCTTTGCCTGCCACAATATAGGCAGGACCGCCAGTTGCTGTAATAAGGAATAACAAAAAACAAAACAACAATGAATCATGGTCGAGCAAATGCTCGGAGCTTATTTAGAGTTTTGTGTGTGTGTTTTCAATGTGATTCATTTATTCACTTACCAATGGGTTCTACGGATTTAACGGTTGACAGCAAACATGTTGATGTTGTCAATACCAACAACAATTTTAACATTATGACATCCGTCACAGGCTACTATACGGATAACATTATTAGCATAAGTGCGGAGAGTGTGAAAGAGAAAGAGAAAAAAACAAAAAAATATGATTATTATTTTATTAATAAGGCCATAAATGTAATTATATAATAAATGAAAATACAACAGAGCCAGATGCCAATGTTCGTTCATTCATTCGTGGTGTCCACATACAGTCGAACTTCTTTATGAAGAACTGTCCCATAATGTAAATTACTTCCAGGATAGTCTTTGTATAAAGAGTATTTTCTGGTCATCGAACCGCAATTCGCCGATCCTCCACAGTACAGTACAGTAGTTCCACTGTACATTCGTATAAATGTACATAACATACATTAATAGATTAATTCATTTTTATGGTATTGTCAGTCGTCCTTGATGACGAAAACAAAGACCAAAAAATGAAAAACGGATGCAAAGGGAATTGAGGCAACACCGGTCGCCTGAAAACATTTTTTGCAACTCCCTTTTGTCCGGATAAACATATGGCTTATTATAACACCACGACTGGAAAGGAAATGAATGGGCCAAGATCTGCCAATTAATTGATGGTGTGTATTTCCATGCAACACACACTCACACAATACAATAAGAAAAATTACATCAGATACATTAATTAATTCAAAAGTAAATATAAATCATACAGAAATTATTTACGAATGTCACAGAACCAGCAGCTGCAATGGATCTGTGCTGTTGAAATGAAATAATATTTATTGACAATCTTAATGATGGCACACATTTTGTTTCCATTGTCGGTATAATTAAAATCATTAAAAGGAGGCGTGTGGTGGAGGTTTTGTAATTGTACTAGGAGTGGAAGAAATAATACATGAATGAACCAAATATAAGTCAACCATAATGGTCTTATCCGATTTCCGGTCTGATAATCTTAGACACGGGTTCAAAATAGATTAATTTCTTTTGATATTTATACCCTCGTACGGCTAATGAGGATATATACAAGAATTAAAATTTAAAATATCATCATATTGATCATTATCAAATATCATTATATTGAATTCTGCATACCAATATTGGTCCACCTTTAAGTATAGCCCCCACATATACCGATATCTTCAATTCATTGCATTTTAAAGATTTGGATATATTATTCAGATATTATGGTTTTTATTGGTTAGTAAATTCCAAAAATTAGTCAATGTTATATAGATATATGGGGTTTTCATTTCTATTCCATAAAATGAGGTGAGTTTGCACACGTTGTATTAACAATA